ACTCCTTGGATGATCTGATGAAACACCTCCGCATTGAGGAGGAAACTCGCATCAGGGACAAGAAAGGTAAAGTTGGACAAAGTGTGCATCAAGTGTCAGCTGGGAGTTCTAGCCACAAAGGCAAATCTGGGGGTCAGAACAAGAAGAACTTTGGACCCAAGAAACAAAGCTTCAAGAAACCGGGTCATCAGAATCCTAACTCAAAGCCAAAAAGAGCCGGTCCTTGCCACGTCTGCGGAGAGATTGGGCACTATGCAAGAGAATGCAAAGATCGCAAATCCAGTACCGGTTGCACACGCAGTCGAGAAGGTACTGACATGGTGGCTAGTGTGAACCTTGGAGAGATTTTCATGATCTCCTCTCTTACTCGAGCAATCTGTGCTCGAGGTTGGTTCGTGGACACTGGAGCCACTGTGCATGTTTGTGGGCATCGAGAAGCTTTAGCACCTACCACCCATGCCTCATGGGACGGTTGTCGTCTGTGCTGATGGCCACAGAGCTGAAGTTCTAGGAAAGGGTGATGTTCGGTTGAAGTTCACACGTGGTGAATGGGTGACTCTTCGAGATGTTCTTCATGTTCCTACCATCTCGAAGGGTTTGGTTTCTGCGGACAAGTTTGACAAGGCTGGGTTCAAGATGGTGCTTGAGAGAGGCAAAATTGTGATCACTAAAGGCAGAAGACATGTTGGGAGGGCGAACAATACTTCGGGAATGTATCGCTTGTGTCTTAGTGATGAGGGTAATTGAGTGGTCCTAGTGTTGAGTGTGGTGTTTCTAGTGTTGCTAGGGTCGAGTGTTGGTAATGATGTAATTGATGGATTGGTTGCTAATGTGAATGAAGTGAACTTTTCTGGTTATATTGTTTGTTCAATTTCTTTATGGCATAAACGTTTAGCTCACACTAATGTTAAAAACATTGAAAAAATGCAAACTAAAGGTATGTTAAAATATGACTCAAAAGATTTTGAAAAATGTGAAACATGTGTAAAATCAAAGTTCACTAGAGAAACCATTTCCATCAGTTAAGAGAAACACATCTTTACTTGAGTTGATTCATTCTGATATATGTGAGTTAAATGGAATCCTTACTCGAGGAGGAAAAAGGTATTTCATCACATTTTGTGATGACTTCAGTAGATATCTACATGTTTATTTGCTGAGATCAAAAGATGAAGCTTTTGATGCATTTAAACGATATAAGGCTGAGGTCGAAAATCAACTTGAAAGACACATCAAAATTCTTCGCTCGGACAGAGGCGGAGAATATTTCAACCAAGAGTTTGACACATTCTGCGAAGAGAATGGAATCAAACATGAGAGAACATCACCATACACCCCTCAACAGAATGGTTTGGCTGAAAGAAAAACCGAACTCTTTGTGAGATGGTCAACTGTATGTTGAACCAATCGGGTCAACCAAACAATCTGTGGGGGAAGCACTATTGACTGCTTGTTATGTTCATAACAGGATCACTAGTCGTGTGATTCCTACAAGCCCTTATGAGTTGTGGAAAGGTAGAAAGCCTAACCTAGACTATTTGAAAGTGTGGGGGTGTGTTGCTTATTATCGGACTCCCGATCCTAAGCGAACCAAATTGGGAGCACGAGCTAATAAGAGTATATTTATTGGATATGCTCAAAATAGCAAGGCTTACCGATTACTAGATATTGATTCTGGTGTTGTTGTGGAATCCAGAGATGTGGAATTCTTTGAGGACAAGTTTTCTAAGGATGAAGAAAACTCTAGTCATACAACACTTACAAGTACCTCTCGAGAAATACTCCCACCTCCTCCCATTGTGGAGGAACCAAGGAGAAGTACTAGGGCTAGAATTGAGAAAACCTTTGGAGATGATTTCTATTCTTATTTGGTCGAAGGAACACAAAAGAAAGTGACGAGAGAGGTCATCTTTTCAATTAATTTGGATGATGATCCTAAGACTTTACTGAAGCCATGACGTCTCGGGATGCTCCTCTGTGGAAGGAAGCAATCAATGACGAAATGGATTCAATTATGGGTAATGGAACTTGGGAGTTAGCTGATCTACCCAAGGGGAGAAGACCCATAGGATCCAAATGGATATTCAAGAAGAAATATCATCCTGATGGATCCATATCTGCTTATAAAGCAAGGTTGGTTGCAAAGGGCTATAGGCAGCGAGAAGGGATCGATTATTTTGATACCTATGCCCCAGTTGCTAGAATTAGTTCAATTAGAACTCTCATAGCAATATCAGCTTTGAAGGGATTGTATATTCATCAAATGGATGTGAAGACAGCCTTTCTGAATGGTTATCTCAAAGAGGAGATTTACCTGGAGCAACCTGAAGGTTTCGTAATACCTGGACAAGAAAACAAAGTATGTAGACTTGTTAAGTCTTTGTACGGGTTGAAACAAGCTCCTAAACAGTGGCATGAGAGATTTGACACCACTGTGACTGCCTTTGGTTTTCAGCACAATAGTGCTGACAGATGTATTTACTCAAAACATACATCTGATTACATAGTAGTTATATGTCTTTATGTTGATGATATGTTGATCATTGGCACTCACCTAGAAGGTATTCTTGAGACGAAGAAATACCTATCCTCGAACTTTAAGATGAAAGATCTTGGAGAAGTAGATACTATTCTTGGTATCAAGGTGAAGAGGACGGGTGGTCAGATTTCTCTGAGTCAATCTCATTACATAGAGAAAATTCTGACAAAGTTTCAACATTTGAACATTAAGGAATTTAACACTCCTTTTGATTCAAGTGTGAAACTTAAGGTGAATTCTGGTCGAGCTGTGGCCCAACTAGAATATGCTAGTGCAGTTGGGAGCATGATGTATGCTACTCACTGCACGCGACCTGACATCGCATTCGCTGTAAGCAAGTTGAGTCAGTATACAGTTAATCCAGGGACGGAGCACTGGAAAGCAGTGGGTAGAGTACTAGGATACCTGAAAAGGACAAGTACTTTTGAATTGACATATTCGTCATCTAATGGAATACTTGAAGGTTATTCTGATGCCAGCTGGATTGATCACACCAGTGATTCAAATCCACAAGTGGTTGGATTTATACTCTAGCTGGTGGTGCTATTTCTTGGGCGAGCAAGAAACAGACATGCATAGCTCATTCAACGATGGAAGCTGAGCTAATTGCCTTAGCAGCAGCAGGCAAAGAGGCAGAGTGGATTCGAGATCTACTTATGGATATACGTTTGTGGGATATTCCGATGCCTTCAATACCCATGTACTGTGACAGTGAGGCCACACTGTCTAAAGTATATAATGCGGTATATAATGGGAAGTCAAGACATGTAGGTCTGCGTCACAATTTTGTGAGACAACTAATTGAAAGTGGTACCATCAAGGTTGTCTATGTCAAGACAAGTAGGAACTTGGCAGATCCGTTCACCAAACCTCTGACGAGAGATTTGGTTACATCTACCACGAGAGTCATGGGTCTAAAACCACAATAGAATCGTTTAGTGATGGAAACCCAACTTGACATTAGTGCTCCTAATTTTCAAGTTTAAAGGGTAACAACGAAATCACTAACGATAGAAGGTACTATCATTCATGATAGATCCATGTGAGGTAGGATAGTGCGTCGTTGCCGAGAATGAGGTTGAGTTACGACTCTTAACGTAGTTTTGGAGACATCTAAGCAACGAAGATGTTGTAAAACTATGCCTATATGATCTAGAGGTGGTGCCGCCTCAAGTGAAGATTAGTGGTTTATCTTCTAAAGGGTCATGAAAAGGATTTATAGCGCATGGCCATAAAGCGCTCAGGGAGAACACAAATATGACTTGTGGTGTGTGGGGGTAAACCGGAGAGGTCATTAAGGTTCATGGTTTAAACCTATAAGGATACCATTGAATCGGTCTCTTCTTGTTTGTTCTCATTAAACTAGGGTTTAATCTTCGTGACACCCGAGTGACATCATCTGTCTGAGTGAAAGGAAACTTACCAACTTGGTGGGGGATTGTTGGAACTTTATATATATATATATATAAAGGAATTGCAAGTTGGCAATTTCCTTTGTATCCCACATTGGTGGGGAGAAGAAACCTTTGAGGGTTTATAAGCCTATTCCCTTGGTAAGCCTTCAAAGGCTTTAGTGGATCAAAGGAATGGGCCAAGCCCACGCGCGCGCCTAGCCTAGCCTAGCACTAGCCGACGCCGCGAGTGCGCGAAATGGCGCGATTTAGGCGCACTTTGCACGATGCATCGGTCGCTGGGAGCTGAGGAGCTTTTATTTTTGGTGAGTTCGGGTCAAGCCGATTTGACTTCGTAATGGATAAGTCATCGGGGCATTCTAGAAGGATCAGGAAACGGCTTGCTTGGAGAGCAAGCTGTCGCCCTAGGGTTTCTGGGGCCGGCCTATGGGGGCCTGGTTTATGCCTTCTAGGGTTTCGATACCTATAAATATAGCCCTCTAGGAGCCATTCAGAACACACACGAATTCTCAAAGCTCTCTCCCTCTCTCTGCGTTTTTCTTCTAGTTTCTGAGTAGTCGCTTTGTGTTTGTCGATTTCCAGTGCTGTTGGAATATCGATCTAGCTGCATTAAATCCTGGGGTTTTACTCTGTTGCTTACAGCCAATACAAGCGAAGTAAGAACCTTTAAGGACAGGAATCTGATCCGTGCAGTTGCTTCAAGATCAAGTCAGCAATCAACAGGTCGGTTTTACTTTTCTGTCTTGTGGTTAATTCGTCCAATAACAAGACAGTCTTCTTCTACCTTTCTTACAATCAGATCTAATCGAGAAGGATAGATCTGGTTTCGGACGAAACTTGGTAAATTTAATAATAATAATTGAATTTATTATTCGCAACTAATCGACATATAATTCACAATATTATTTGTCGGTTTCCTTGCGTGTCTTTTGATTTGATATACAACATCATCAGCTTCACCCACTACATCTTTTAGCTGCTTCAGCCACACCATCACAACCTCTGATTCCTTTTTTTGCTCCGCATCACGTAACTTGGCACGAATCAGGTCTAATGTTCTGTGAAGGCTGGTCAGCTTTTCTTCGTAACCCCATGCAATGGCGAGTTCGCCCGCAGCAATAGACAACACCTTTTTCAATATTCCCTCAGCAGCAACAGTGACTAATGCTTCAGCCATTTTCACTGTTTAGAAGAGATTGGAAGAGGGGGTGAATGGTGGAAGAAAGATAGAAAACAATAAGAATCTGTGAGATGGTGGAACAAAGAGAGACACAATGAATGGAAATGGAGATTCATTTGGTGGCGTGTGTAGTGGAAAATGGTATCGAATCAGAATTGAAGGTGTCTACTAAGTTATACCTTTCTTAAGTTACAAGTTTAGAACATACACTTTGCTAAGTTTCTTTTCTTTTCTTTTGTTTTTACCTTCTGTCATTATTACTTATCTAAAATATTAATATATCATTATATTTTATGTTTTAATAGTTAACATATAATATTTCATATATAAACTAGAATGATCTTTTAATTTAACTGGTATAGTTTCATTTACCTTTTGATATAATTCTATATTGTAATATAGAACATAATAATTTGAAATATATCTATTAAATATTAATACATGCTAACTATCATAACATATATACCAGAAAACAAATACAAATACATCCAGCAGGATATAATATTTTCTTTAGATTTCTGGATTGACTTTGTAATAATATTTCTTCCGTGTCAAAACATACAACGTTGTAATTAATTAAAAACTAATTTATTAGAGTTTTTTAATAACAGTTAAATAGGTAAAGACTAAGGATGAATAATTAAGAAAACTATGACTTTCATGACAACTCATTAGAGGTTGTTATTATTAAGAATGATTTAATTTTATTATAAGCATTGACCTTCAACTAACCCATCAAAGTCTACTTATATTATCTATATTATCTATAATTTTATACGTACTCGTCTCTTTCCTTACAATTAGCGTTTGTTGTTACTCAGAATCAAGCAATTTTAAATAACGGTTAATCTTCACCTAACCCATAAATTTGGCTTATAAATTGCATTGGTGTCTTCAGAAATTTCACACATACTTACTCTAATGTATACAGATTCATAAAGTGAAATTTACTGGTCTATATATTGATTTTAGGTAGTTTCAAAATTTCGATATATTATCTGGTTTCAGATACATACATCACCCATGCATGCATGGTGTCCTTTTTGGATTTCATTTTACTAACAGTGTCATCATGCAGGTGCGCTATCTAGTCAAAAACCCGGAAGCGCATCCATAGATCCCATCGGTGGCCAGCGGAGGGACAAAATGAATTATTTGGCTTCATATACTTCTCCACCACGGAATCTGCCTTGTGGAGATCTACTTGGTAAACTCTGATATAAATTTTAATTTATAAGATCCCTTAATGATGATTTGATGTAATTAACGTCGACCAGAAATTACTTTTGTTAAAAAAAAAATATTCTATTAAGTTTTAACTTGCACACCTCATACCAAGCATATATAGAGAATTCTTTGAAATGGTATTCAAGTAATTAAAAGTATTAGCTGCTTATTATGATCAATATTTGATTAACCTATCATCTGTTATTGCTTCAAAGGAAATAGAGACGACTACCACAAAATCTGTGTTCCTCTTTATAATGCATCAATGGAAGGTGATTGGAAGGCTGCTCAGGACATCTTTGACAAACATCAACATCTAGATCTGGTAGGGTTTGGTATCAGTCAAAATTATGATACTGCTCTTCACATTGCAGCATCCACAAAAAGAACCGAGTACGGGAAACAGTTTGTAAATAATCTATTGAGTAAGATGACAAACCAACAATTACAACTTCAGAACATGCACCACAACACCGCACTGTGTTTAGCAGCAGAAAGTGGAAATGTCGAAATTGCTAAGATATTAATTCAAAAGAATAAGGCCCTGCTGGAAATTCCTGGTAATCAAGGAATGATGCCACTTCATATGGCATCAATACATGGAAATGACATTGTGCGTTATCTCTTTCACAATTCTAGGCAGATGACCGGTGATCTTTGGACAGATCAGAATCGTAGTCAGGTTCTCCAAAACTGTGTAGAGGTTGATATGTTTGGTAAGTAGTTGTTGCACCTTTCTTGTTCTTTTATCTGGGTCGTGAGATTAAACTCCCAAGTTTTCTACACCAAATTTTTTCATGTCCATTCTTCTTACATGATAGTATGCATGATCTTTTTTTTAGGATGGGTTAATTTCAAAGGAAAATTGTTAAGGCGATTGTATTTAGAGTTTGTTGGAAATGTAACATCTTACCGCTTTAAGTGACTGTTAAATATTTTGTAGATATTGCCTTGACTATAGTGACTGAGCGACCAGAACTTGCTCTTAATGGGAATGTACTCCAAGTTCTTGCTCGAAAGACGAATGCATTTGAACTGAATCATACACCGCCGTTTTACCGGAGAGCCATACATCGATGTTAGTATTTCTATTCTTATTTATTTCTCCACTACATATCTTTTAGCCAGATTTATAGATCACTTATAAATTACTCAAAAAGTATATGGTGTCCTTAACTTGGTTTCTTACTAGATCCTGCAGAAGAACTGACTGATGCCACGCGATTACTTCGAATCGTTTGGTCAAATATTCTGAAGTTGCCCATCGATACAATTGATGACATTCTCAGAGGCCCTGCAGACGTTATCAAAGGACCATCAGACATAATTATTACCAAAGATGGAAAGAAAAAGCCAAAGCACTCTTCACGAGTACTATTCATAGCTGCAGAGAGGGGAAATACTAAATTTCTAGTTGAGCTCATCCGTGAATATCCTGATTTAGTATGGAAGACAGACGATAACAACCAAAGTATATTTCATGTTGCTGTCTCACACCGTCATGTAGATATCTACTGCCTTCTCTATGAGCTCGGCTCAATGCAAAACATGATAACATCTCTCCAAGACGTGGAAGGAAATAACATGTTGCACTTAGCTGGGAAGAGGTCAAAGACAAATAGACCTCACGAAACTTCAGCACTTGGTCTACAAGTGCAACATGACATGTTATGGTTCATGGTATGTACTTCCATTTGTCTGAGATTCTCGGACCATAGCTTTTTGCATATGCCAATTTGTTCCTACATTTACCAGTTGTAGCGTTTATACGGGTACAAACTAGCTAACCAGTTATTACAATATTTATTTTTCTTGAATCTGGTTTGGCATGCCACTAATAGAGCATCTCCAATGGTTACACTCTTTAATACTTGTTACCTAAGCTTCCTCTAATTTAACTTATTTTCACAAAACTTTCTCTATTAATTGGTTTTAACAAAGTTATACTTATCTTTTGTCATAAAATTCCGTCTTATGATTTATCATTTTTCAAGATATATAGTATGTTATATCATCGAAAAATAGCATAAGTTAACAATTAAATTTAAATAAATAAAAACAATAAAATCCTATTACACATGTGACCAAAATATTTTTTAATTTTAAATATATATATATATATATATATATATATATATATATATATATATATATATATATATTGTTTCTAAAGTTTCGCCAAATACATTTAATTGATATAATAATTTCTATGAAATATTTTTAATTTTTCTATATATAATTAAATATACTAATTTACCAAAAAGTAATAATGATTTCATATTTAAATATAAAAAGGGTGGAAAATGAAACCCTATCATGCAAGGCCAAGGGCCAAAATGTACAAAACATAAAAGAAAATTAAGAGGTTGGAGTTCGAGTGGTTAAAAGTGACGTTTTAGAAAACCTTCACATGTGGAGATTTTCTAAATTTAAAACACACAGGAGCACACAAATGGTTTATTTTCTTCTACAACCATCTCTCCCTGGGTTGTACTAGAAGAAGATAGACCACTGATCTCATCAACTTCATACAAGAATACTAAAATTATATTAGAGTTGGATAGTTTCAATGGCTCATGACAATCTAATATATTACTTATGTTAAGTGCTAGCTTACTCGATCGATACTTTATTTGGACTAGTTACTTCATTTTACAGGTTCAAGATCTATGATGTCAAATTAAATGTTTCATATGAGGTTATTCAAATAGTAACACACCAACTTAATTTTTGCCATACACAACAATCTATGTTGTATATTTTAGAGGACTTTGAATATGATGAACAGCTTTCAGTTTTACATTTGAAATACAAACCAGGTAAAATAATCACATTTTTTTGACGTCGTAGGAAGTAGAGGCTAACATCTCTCCTTTTCACCATGAAACGAAGAACAACAATGGTCAAACACCATATGAATTGTTCATGCTTGAGCACAAAGAACTATTCTCTGCACATGAAAAATCCATCAAAGAGACAGCGAACCAGTGCTTGGTGGTTGCAGCGGTCATAGCTACCATTGGATTCACAGCAGCTTTTACACTCCCAGGGGGTTACAATCAAGATAATGGTATTCCTATTTTCCGCCGTAACCAAGTGTTCATAATCTTCTCCATATTTAATGCCCTCTCTTTGTCATCCTCTTCCATTTCGATCCTCATATTCTTATCTATTCACATAAAAAGGCAACATGATTTTCTGCAATCAGTACATAGAAAACTGATGACAGGCATAGCAGGACTCTTGTTCTCAGTAGCATCGATGTTGTTCTGTTTTTGTACCTGTTTCTTCATTTATTATCAGGACAAGTTAGTTTGGGTACCAATCTTTATCACCTTGTCGATTTTAATGTCAATGCTATCATATGGCATGTATCAGATGGATATAACTGCTGAATTTTTTCAACAAGCATTTGGTTCTAGGAGTCACTTCAGTATGCAGAGAAAACATAGACTTTACTATCAAAATCCAAGATTCTAGTCATGTATTCTGAGTGCAAAGTCTAATTTTCAGATACTGTGATGCTTTCTTTAATCGGAAGATGTTGTTGGCGGATGATAATGTACTTTTTGAAGCAAATTTGTATTTAAGTTTATCATAGATGGTGATGTCTTTAAGTAAATAATTAAACTCTTTCTTTTTGTTGCAATCGGTTGCCGTAATAAAATTTGGTATCCACACCTTAAACGAAGAATGTGGTAAACTGGTTTTATATATATATATATATATATATATATATATATATATATATATATATATATATATATATATATATATATATATATATATATATATATATATATATATATATATAAGGGTTCAACTGAGAAAAAAAAAGATTGAGAATAGCAGAAATCATTCTCAACCACTCATTTATTTTTACCGCAAAAGCCTTCAGACTACTATTTATCACATGTTACCACACCCAAAAGGTGTCATATCAGCATCCTACTCATACATGGTATTATAACACCTAAGGTGGAAATGCACAACATCTAATAACATGTGATAACACCAATTATTTTCCATTTTATTTTTTATTTTTTTTTTGATGTTTTTTTTTCTATATTTCGAATTTGTTATTTATTTATTTATTTATATTTGAAAAGTAAAAAATAAAATTTTAATAAATCTTAAATTAAAAACAACATTAAAAAAATTACAACAAAACACAAAAACATTTAAAAACCTAAAATAAATAACAAAAAAAAAGATAATAAAACCTACATTTTTTGCCCTAAAACTATTCATCTTCATCTTCGTGATCAACATACATGTAATCCGCCAAGTCTTCACAGAGTTGCTTGTGGTTTCGCTGATCTTGAATATCGACCACTCTATGTAAATATTCTGATGTCCCAGGTTGAAATTGCACATGTCTTGGTTCCGTAGGAGAATACGTTGCAATATTGCGTCCTCTATCTTCAACAACCATGTTATGCATTATGATACATACATACATGATATATCGTAGAGTATCTAACTCATAAGGTCTCGCCGCATGTTCAACAATGTGCCATTTTGATTTCAAAACCCCAAAAGCACGTTCAACGTCCTTACGTGCTCCTTCTTGTCGTCTCTTGAAATATTTGTCCCTTAGATCTATTGGATGTCGAAACGCCTTCACAAACGTAGAATATTCTGGATATATTTCGTATGTAAGGTAATACCCGAACTTATATTCATTTCCATTCACTGTGAAAGGAGCATCTGGGGCTTTTCCTGACGAAAAATCGTCAAATATCGATGATTGATCTAGAACGTTAACATCGTTGTTAGAACCCGCAACCCCGAAAAAAGCAGGCCAAATCCATAAATCTTGTGAAGCAACAGCCTCTAATACCAACGAAGGCGCTCCATGATGACCGCTCGAATACTAGCCTTTCCACGCCACGGGGCAATTTCTCCATTTCCAGTGTGTGCAATCAATGCTCCCAAGCATACCCAGAAAACCATGTCTTTCTTCATGTGCCACATATAATTGTTGCATATCACGAAATGAAGGTTTGCGTAAATATTGGTCACCGAAGGTTTTGACAACACCTGTTGCCAATAAATACAAACTTTCTCGTGCGGTCCTCTTAGACATTCTCATATAATTGTCAACAGAATCGGGCGACTCCCCCATTGCCATAAGTTTAATTGCAGCAACACATTTTTGCAAACCTGTGAAGCCTCGTTTGCCTCTGGCATCATATCTCATTTGGAAAAATTCATACCTAAATAAATATTAAACACGTAAAAATTATATTTATTTTTATCTAAAAGTAACATTTTATAAATTATAAAAGTTGAAACAAACAATACCTAATTATATAATAAACAAACGATACCTAATTAAATATTAAACATGTAAATTTTTATTTATTTTATCTAAAAGTGACATTTTGTAAATTATAAAAGTTGAATCAAACGATACCTTGCTTCCATAGCGTTGGCTATCATTTCAAAGATATTTTTTCGCAAACGAAATCTTCTTTTGAAATCGCTTGGCTGGTAGACACAATTTTCCTCAAAGTAATCATTAACTAGTTGCTGATGCCCTTCCTCACGATCTCTATTTAACGCTGCACGTTGCGTGAGTAGTGGAGCTGGATCTGGCTGTAGTAGGTTGTCTGTGTAATACTGGTACATCATACTCACGAACAAATCGTCTTCGTCGTTATCATCATTGTACGGATGAGCCGGATCAAATTCATTCATAGTTGATTGATTTTTGTGTTTGTGTTTTGAGTGATATAGAAATAGAGATAGATATACAGAAATATGTGTAGTAAAAAGAATGAGGTATATATATATATATATATATATATATATATATATATATATATATATATATATATATGTATGTATAAAAAGAAAATGCAATTAGTGATTTTTTTTATATTTAAAGTTACCGTTTTTAAACGGTTTGAATTTGTAAACGGTCAAATTTTACGCGTTACGAAATGTTACCACAATCACGCGACTTAACATAACACACAATAACGGGAGGGGGGGGGGGTGTTCCCCCTTTAGGGCGCTGCCACATTGGATAACGCCACAGGGGCGTTGCCCACACATGCCCATCTCAACGTACCGGCGGAAATGGGAAAGGAATACACATGTATTTTCCAACAAAATATATTTCCTTAAACCATTTTAATCATTACCTTAATATATACAAAAACATAGTTTTTTTCGTTTTTTTTTAATTTTTAGAAGCTATTTTTATCAAAAAATGATTTTAAATATACCAAAGTTCATGATTTTTTATTCTCTACAAATAGACATCCATATTGATATAGTTTTAAGATAATTTTTTTTATATATTTTCAGCTATCATTATTCATAAGTGAATAAAAATGCATCAGATTTTATTACAGTACATTCGTTATTCACTTATGAACAAAAATTATGATTTTTTTTTTACAATTTAAGTATCATTCATATATGAATATAGCATATAATAAACATAGTATATTCATATTTTAATATTGGACGATGCATTCACTTATGAATATTAACATAGTATATTCACTTGTGAATATTAGATGGTATATTCACTTATGAATATTAAATGATATTTCATATGTGAATATTACATAGTATTACATGGTATATCACATGTGAATATTACGTAGTATATTCATTTGTGAATATTAAATGATATATTCACTTATGAATATTACACAGTATATTCACATATGAATATTACAAGGTATATTCACTTGTGAATATATTCACTTATGAATATTTGAAGGTATTTTCACAAATATATATAATTTTTATATGTTATTCACATATGCATAACATACAAACTTGTATATTTGTTAATAATCATATATTGATTCAGGTGAAAAAACATATTCATATGTGAATATAGCGTGGTAATTTAGTTTATGCATTTCATCAAACAATTGGAGTACATACAAGTTAACTATTTTAAAAATGTTAAAAACATCAAGTTATCAATTCCAAATCATCATATACTTCCGATTTCGACATCAGATGCGACATCCTATGTCTGATCGATTTCTCATTTTGATTTTGATTTCCGAAAATCCGATTGGTAACCTGTGAGTACTAATTCTGAATCCTTTAATGTCGACTGTGACTGCGAGTCCAGAACTCTGATTCCAATTTCATGAACAGTTGAAGAAATATGGATTATTATTGAAGGTTGGAGGAAAATTTTTGATGATAAACGAACTGTTATCGAATTCTCTATAGTTACGTATTTGAGATTAAAGGTTATTAACATATTTACAAGTTTGTCACCATGTCTTTTTATGCTTAGATTAAATGAGTGGCTGAGAATGATTCCCCCATTCTCAACCTTTTTTATTTTCTCAATTGAACTCACCTCTCTCTCTCTCTCTCTCTGTATATATATATATATATATATATATATATATATATATATATATATATATATATATATATGCGTAAGTTCATTCTACCTTAATAGGTTGTTGCCTTGCTTAATGTTTATATGAATGACGATCCATTGAAAGTATTATAATTTTTTTTCATGTATTTATTGACAGACTTTATACTTTTTTTTGAAACCGCAGATATACTAAACTATTCCTAAATTAATTTATCTGTGTACACATCGGGACTTGAACACTTAACCTCAAAGAAGAAGGATAATACCAAATACCGGTGGGCAAGAAGCCATTTGGTGACAGAACTTATACATGAGTTAGACTTTGTTAATATATTGTAGAACTAAGTAACTAACTTTAACCGTCACCTAACACTACTAGAACAAATTTATTGGGTAGTTTGTTACAACATACTAATGGTTTGCCACGAAAATCAACAAATTTTCATTCCGGCCATAATTTGTTGAGAAAACTACGATTTCATTTTTCTAGTTTTGAATGTTAGTAAAAAGAACTTAGTTTCAAATATTAGGGTAAAAATGGCTAATTAGGCTTGTATTGTTTTTCACTATATTTCCCAAAAATCAATACAAATACATGTTAGTACTTGATTCTTCCATCATTTATGGTTTTGAGCATTCCTATTGGATATGTTGCTATCAAATATCATCTAGGTAATAGAATCTAATCCAATTTCATCATCAATTGCAATATCCCCAATTTGGGTTTTCTAAGTTTATGTGGTTTTCATCCAAATCATCAAATCCACCAATATAGTGATTGGATTCAGACTATAAGCATCAAAACTATTCAATGAAGATTAGAAACAAAAACCCTAACCATTAGAAGAAGTAAATTTCAACATTTGGGGTTTCCCCAAACCTTAAATTCTAAAATTAGAGTTAGAAGAGAAAATATTATACCTACCAAGCTTCTGATTCCACATTCCTTTGCTTAGGATGCTCAAATCTTGTCTTGGATCAAACCTTAGATGAAAAATAGACTAAAATCACCATGAGAGAGCA